TTCGTTTTTACATAGTAATTTTTTTTAGTAGTCAGTTTCTTAACCGGTTATGTTTATATCTCATAGTCAATTAATAAACCTGATAGAGAAAAAAAAATGTTAAAAAATGAAGAAAAAAAATTAAAAGTAAAAAAATTTAAAATAAAAAAAAATTAAAAAAATAAAAATAATAATAATAAAAGTACAAAAATTAAAAAAATGAAAACATCTCCAATCTGCGATGTTGCTACTCAGGTTCATCTCTCTCTTAGTCTTCGATAGTTTAACTACCGTTAGATTCCTCTCTTCGAGCTCTTTCTTTTAGTGTTGATTTCATACAGTTTCAAGGTCTGAATCTGCTCCTGCAATCTTTTTACAACCAACGCATATTTCCACGACTGAGGATCTTGTCGGGAGGTGTAATTTGTGTTCCGCTAGTCGGAGTTTGATGGGCTACTCACTGTTGATTTCCTCTTGTCGAGATCCATATTTTGATGCCAATTTAGTTCATTTTTTTATTGTCAGATTTATTTCTATGAATCTTTTCGTTGATTTTTGAGTGCTTTGATGTTTCTTCATTTTTTGTTGATTTGCACTAAAATAATTTTTTTTTTGTTTCGATTTTTGCAGCTTAATGGAAGCCATTAATCCTCTCTCTAAAGGTGTCAAAAAATTTGGTTGAAGTTACATCTGCTTCAAGTTACTGTGTTCCACATACTGTATACATTATTGTACATTATCATACATTACTAGTTACATATAGTAATGCAGTAACATATGAATATATTTGTGTATTTTCGTTTTGTATTTGTTGGTTATGATGTGATTTATAATATAAATATTGAAATTGTGAATTTTTGTTGAGGTTTATGAATTTCTTTCGAAAAAAACCAATATCCGTGTGTCCATAATTGGTCAACTAAAGATTTGGGATAAAAAAAACATACCTACGAATGACTTTAGTTTACTACAGTTACATGTCGTTATTTTCAGTACAGTAAACATATCGATTTAAAAATAATAAAAATAAAAATATATTTTTTATAAATATTAATAAAAAAAAATAAACAAATAGGTTTTTTTTTTAAATAAATAAATCAGCGAAAATGGTAAATGTAGGATCAGAAATACTGAACCAGTTTGGGCAAAATTTCATGTAAGAGCAATATAGTAATTTGCCCTCTTTAGGGGGTATGCCTAAGGATGATTTTCGCTTGGTCCCTAATTTATTAGGCACCTAGGGGTGTATATAAAATAATTCCATATTTAAATTTACAATAAACGATAAACCTATTTTATGTGCTTATTAGGATAACTCAACATTGGTAAATAAAGAATTTCGAAAGTTTACTTCTCATATTTCAAATTCAAATTATATTTTTGATTTTATTTCTAAAAAAATTTAATGGTATTTCTAATTATTAGAATTTTATACAAATATATAGGTTAAATAATACTCATGCCCCTTGAATTTTAAATTTTTTGGACATGATTCCTAATCATTTCAATATAAGTATATGAACCCCTTGCATTGAAAGTACATGGGTTAAGTGCTATTTATCCAAATAATCCAAATATATATATGAAAAATTAGCAAGACCCCCTTCATTTGAAAAATTCATGTGGGAAATGACTTTTTTTTTTTTATTTGAGAGAAGCCCTTTTTCTTTGAAACAATTCTCCTCACTAATTTAAATTGTCAATTGTACCCTTCTAAAACCTTAATTTGCAATGATATTCCTTCATTTTTCTCCAATAATACGTAACACACACTTTCTCTCTCCTTCTATCCGATAACTTTCAAAAACCCATGAAAACAAGAAAAAAAAGATTCCCTCTTCTCCACCATCTTTATTTTCACCGTTTTCTCCAAACCCTCAAATTCTTTTTTGACCCCCACTATGCTTTAACATATTTATTCCTTTCTCGGTCGAATTCTGATGGGTTGTGCCACCTCCGAGCTCTACGACTTACCTACTGTCGATCTATCGCTGCTCTTTTCTCGATGAAGTAGTACGACAGGGTTTCACCTTCGCCGAAGCCCATGTTGCTTGTCTTCTCTCTCTCTGACCGTGTTTTTAATCAAGATGTCGACGTTTCTTTGCTCTGTTGGTTATCATTTGGATTCTTTTGAATCGTATTGGGTTTCATTGACGGAACTACGATTGTTTTCTGTTACTTTTTGTAGTAAATTTCATTATTATATCATGATGTTAGTACTCAGTTCGTTAATCGACTTATGCTTTACTTGATTAATATCATAGTCAATTAATATAAGTCAATTAATATAAATAATTTTATAAAAATTAAAGAAAAGTTAAAATAAATTATTTAAAAAAAAGGATGAAAGACGAGAATGAAATTGTTGTATTGAGAAGCAGATAATGGTTGGACAATTCTATAAGGGCATATTTTATATACCCCTATCTACCAAATAAACTAGGGATAAATCCAAGCCAAAATCATCATTTGAGATACCCCTGGATAGGCAAATGTACAATACTACTACCCTTATATGCAATTTTCGGTCAAACTATATTCAGCATTTCGGGTCCTTCATTTAGCATTTTCGCTGATTTATTTATTATTATTTTTTTAAATAAACCTGTTTGTTAAATTTATATATTTTAATTTTTTTTAATTTTTAATTTTTTTTTTCTTTTTCAAATCAATATGTTTACTGTACTGAAAAAAAAAACTACATATAACTACATGTAACTGTAGTAATTCGTAGTTATGTTCTTTTTTTTTACCCCACAGTTTTAGTCGATCAATTATATATACACACGAATACTGGCTTATACAAAAGAAATTTATAAATCGCAACAACAAAAAATTACAAATTTCAATATTTATATTATAAATCACCTCAGAACCAATAAAATACAAATCGAAAATACACAATTATATTCAATATGTAACTGTATGTTACTATATGTAACTAGTAATGTGTAGTAATGTACAGTAATGTATACAGTCTGTTGAACAAAGCAAATGTAACTTTAACCAAGAATTTTGACACCTTAAAGGAAATGATCAATGGCCTTCATTAAGCTGCAATTGCAAAATAAAAATAAACATATTATTTTAGTGCAAATCAACAAAAAATAAAGAAACATCAAAACACTCAAAAATTAACAAACACTAAGAGATCGAGAGAGCGAGAGGCCATAACTGCGAATTTTAGATCAAACCGTCAATGACTCCTCACCCCAAGCGCCTTCTACCAAAACCCTAGCCGTCGCTAACCACCCAAGGTTCCGCGCTCATAAAATCCAAAAAATATAAAAATAAACCTTACAATATAAAAATGAATGAAGTTGTCATCAAAATATAGATCCAGGCGATAAGAATCCAACGTGGGTAACCCGTCAAATTCCGACTGACGAAAAACAAATTACACCTCTGGTAAGACCACCGTCTTCGAAATACGCCGACTAAAATAAAATTGCTGAAACAGATCCAACACTCCAAACTAAATGAAATAACCACCAAAAGAAAGAGCTCGACGAGAAGAATCCAACGATAGTTGAACCATTGAATTCCGACCACCGGAGAGAGATGTATGACTCTGGGAAACAATATCGCCAGTTAGAGACCTTGGGGGCGGGATTTGGATCTGAGAATTGAGAGAGAAAGATATAGACCGATATGGGTTGGCTAGGGTTTAAAACTGATTTAAAGGGTATTCTGGGTACTTCAGGGTGGGCTACGGGGTATGTCAAATTATTATCCAAATTGAGGGGGTTTGCACTGAGTGTAAACAACATGGTGGTTAGTTATATATATTTTCGAAATGAGGGGATCTCCAAAATAATCCCATTGTATTATTTAAAAGTGTGAAAGAAACATGGGATTATCAAATATCGGAGTCCTAATATACATAAAAAGTTTTTTCTCAAAGAGTCCCAATATAGCTCGGTCATACCATATGATATATAACAGAGAAGATATACAGCATCACATAAAGAAGAACGAGAGAAAGATTTAGATAGAGAGAAAAGAGAAGAGAGAAAGATTTACATAAGAGAGATGAGAGAAGAGAGAGAAAGATTTAAATAAGAGAGAAAAGAGAAGAGAGAGATAGAAGAGAGAAACAGTTACATACGAGAGATGAGAGAAGATAAAAGAGAGAAGAGAGAAAAATTTATATACGAGAGAAGAGATAATAGAGAAGAAAAGAGAGAAAGATTTACATAAGAGAGAAGAGAGAAGAGAAAGGGGATAGAAGAGAGAGGAACGAAAAACAAACGTTTGTACGACAGGTAACTATTGATGGTTTTTTTTTCCGATCTAATTCATCTTCAATTTTAGGGTTTCAATAACTATATTACTGTTAAACACGGTAATATTAACTATACTACAGTTGAACACAGTAGTATTGCTATATCAATCTCTAGCACATCAATATTAACACAACAAAAGTCATTATTATTGTGTGATAGAGTAATATTTATATTTGACCGTTCAACAAAGGTTAACATAGTAAAAAGCCAAAAGAATTAATATTGATGTGGTTAACAATAATATTACTGAAACAATAGTAATATTACCGTCAACCACAATAATATTAGTGTTTACAGTAATATTACAATAGTACACAGTAATATTATTACGTTACTCCATCAACAACTCAAACAAAACGAAAAACCCAAAAAAAAAAGAGTAAAAAGCAGTTTACCCCCTAAACTATAGCCCGTTTTGCACTTCACCCCCCAAACAAAAAAAATTTGTACGTTTTTACCTAAACTACGGTTTTCGTTGCACGGTGCCTTAAAAAGGGAATATTCAGGGCATTTTTGCCTGAATCCCACACACGTGCCTTTCACGTGATTTTTCCAAGGGTAAAACCGTCTCATCACTTACAAATTAAACAAGGGCTGTATTTCGGTTTTCTTTCACCGACTCGATTAACACTTCAATATTTCTCTGAAATTTTCCCCCTTTCGTTTTTCTAGGGTTTTTAGTTCAAAATCTTTCCTCTCAAAATTTCTTCTGATTTGACGCGTTGGTTGCTCGAAATGGTCTGGAAATTAAGGAAAGGCAATGAAGAAATTCCTCCAGCACGATTTGCTCCAGAATATGGTAAGTTACTAAAATAATTATCGATCTCTGTTGTGCTTATTTGTTTTATGAAATCGATGACAAAGTTCATTTTTTATTCATAATGTTTCTGTTTTTTATTCAAAATGCTTCAGAATATGTGTTTAAAATATGAAAAAAGTATGGATCCCAAAAACATTGTTCCCTTTATTGAAGTATACTTGTTTATTTTCCCCACTATCATTTCTGGTATTTTTTTATTCTTGACTGTAATTTTCTATT